AAAATTCTCTTCTACAACATTGAAGAGGGACCAAAAATAAGCACTTTCACAGAACTGTAAAAACCCTAAAAACAAATATAGATAAGGCTAAGTTCTTATGCAAGAAAAAGGGCCAAACGGTGGCCAAAGAGGCAAGTGGTATATGCAAAGCCCAAACTGAAAAATTCCCTTCTACAACATTGAAGAGGGACCAAAAATATACATATTTACAGAACTGTAAAAACTCCAAAACAGTATACAAACATGCTAGAAATGCAATGCAAAAAGAGGCTCAAAAGAGGCTATAACATGAGGTATGCAAAATATTCATCAAACAAGCAAAGACCCTTAATAAAACATGTTAAGAAGGTCAAAATAAGGCCATCTCTAGGCCTGTAAATCGTCCAAAAATGGAAGCATAGTGGGCTGCCAAAGCATGCAAGAATGGGGACCAAAAGAGGGATTTTGAAGCAAGTGCAATATGGGGGCCTCAAACAGGGTTGAGCCCTTAATGAAACAAGAAAATGAGCTTAAAAGAAGACCACTTTCAGTTTTGGTCGGAGCTCAAATATACAAGAAAGAGAGGCTAAGAAATGTTGTAAAAATGAGCTAAAAAAGAGGGAAAGTGAACTTATCCTTGAAGACTTGACTTTGGTTGCCTCTTGGCTTGAGTTTGTGGCTCCTTAGGCCTTGGAGAACACCTTCAATCTTCTGGAATGGAGGATGGAAGGGTGGGGGGTGGTGGTGTAGAAGGAATGGTGGTGTAGGACTTGGAAGTTTTTTCAAGGAAATGAGAGAGATGAAGAGGGATTCTTGTATTCAAGCTTGAAGAGCAAATTTTCTAACCCCTAAAACCCATATTGCTTGCTGGTTATAAGGAACAAAAGGAGAGGGAGTATGGAAGGAAAGGGTGGGGGAAAAGGACCAAGGCTTTCCCCCACAAAATATCCCCCAGATACAGATCTTTTTTGGGGGAAAAAGCTATACAGCTGTAAAGTGCAAAGTGTGAGGAACATGGCCGGCCCATTTTTGGACTTGAAAGTGGCCGGTCGGCCACCTCCCCTAGCCGGCCGGCTAGGGGTCAAAAGGGTCAAGAATAATTAGTGGCCGGCCACCACAAAAAGGTGGCCTCCCAGGTCTCCTCATCACAACCCTGTGGTTCGAATTTGGAAACTCTAAAACAGGAGAGAGAACAAGCCATTTTCAAAAGGGGTTCCAAAGGGTCAAATGGAGTTTTTGGCCGGCCATAAACTTTTAGGGTCCTCCCATGTGTGTACAACACAAATATGTGGTTTGGGGTTGAAGAAAGTGGCCCCAAGGTGTTCAACATTGGCTAGGAAGCGAGAAAAACGGGTGTCGGAGGGCGAAAGTGGAATATAACTGGTTGCCAAGATAATTACTGGCCTCCCACCCTCCAGTGACCTTCCTGGTGATAAAACAGAGGCACCTGCCAAAAATGAACAAAAAGCAATGCAAAACGAATGCTCGGGGCCAAAACACGCAGTTCGGGGTCTCGAAAATAGGCTGCCAAGCACCGAAAGTGGCGTTCGGCCACGAAGTGGCTTTCTCAGGCCCCAGTGTCCCTTGAAAGGGAGAAAATAAGATGTATGCCAAAAATCAGAGCAAACAGAGATGGTTAGGCGGCCCGAACCGAGGCACACGGCCAACGGTCCCGAAAAACAGGAAACCGGACTCCGAAATGGGCAAAATGGCCTACGGCCACATAATGTAGCCCACGGCCACTGAGAGATGGTCTACGGGACCTCTCCCTCCCCTCAGGAAAAGAAACAGAGAAAACTGAGTCTGGTTCGCGAACCGAGGCAAGGTACAAAAGAATCCGGAAGTCCGGAGGCAAGGCTCGCAGTCGAGACTCTGAAACTTCTGAACAAGCACAATATGCAACATCACCGAGCGCTTAATCGGTGACGTCTGAGTCTTAAGGTCGGTCAAAAATGGGGTGTCTACAGTCTCCTATAATCAATGCACACTCGCCACCCAGTCGTGGTTCGTGTGGAGACTAACTCTCCTCTCTCATTCTCAACAACAGTGATGCCCGATTTCTTGGGCACCACTTGTGTGGGACTCACCCACTTGCTATCTGAGATAGGGTATATGATACCCACATCCAACAATTTTAAAACCTCCTTCTTCACCACCTCTTTCATGTTAGGATTCAGTCTCCATTGCATTTCGTGAGAAGGTTTGGTGTCCTCCTTTAGGTGTATATAATGCATGCACACGGAGGGATCTATCCCTTTCAAATCAGCCACTGACCACCCTATAGCACTCCGATGTGCCATGAGAACACTCATTAACTGACTCTCCTGCTCCGCAGTCAAGTCAGATGCAATGATAACTGGTAAAGTCTCCTAGGGCCCTAAAAATGCATACTTAAGTGTGGCCGGAAGCGGTTTCAACTCAAGTGTAGGTGGTGTGACCAAAGATGGTGCGGCAGGTTCTCTCGACAGAGGAGGAAGTGACTCAAACCGGGCTTTCCATAGAGGAAAATCCGGTGTAGAAGAAGAATTAAGCAAGACATTCACCTCCTCAACTGACCCATCTATATCAAAATTTTCAAACCCAAAATGAGCTAGACAAGCCTCTAAAGGGTCCTCTACAAGAATGGAGGGCAAAGCCTCCTCAACAATCTCATCCACAACATCCACTAATAAGCACTCCTCTCTCTCATGAGGTTGTTGTGATGCTTGGAAAACATTAAGTTTCACTTGCATGTTACCAAATGAAACTTCCATAACCCCGGTCCGACAATTAATGCATGCATTGGCCGTAGCCAAGAAAGGTCGACCCAAAATCACCGGGATTTGTTTCCTCGAACTAGCTACTAGTTCCATATCTAAAATCAAAAAGTCAACAGGGAAGTAGAACCTATCAACCTTAACTAACACATCCTCAATCATGCCTCGTGGCACTTTGAGGGATCGGTCAGCCAACTGAAGAGTAACAGTAGTGGGCTTCAACTCGCCAAGCCCAAATGATTTGATCAAATAGTTATCGATATTCAATTAATGTAATTTTTTGCAAGGACGAAGTACTCGGCGAGTTCTATACATTGACAGTTCAGATCAATGAAACAGGTCCTGTGATGGGCCCTCATAGGCCTAACAATATGCTCCAGTCCAATCTTGGACCGGAGAGAATTGATTTGAGTATTTGTTTGACCCGGAAGATGTTTTACTATCGCTGACCACCTACACCACCAGGAAATTGATATATATGATCCAATGCCATGATTAGGATTTTTCCATATATGTATATGTATGTATGTATGGATGAGCATTATTATTCAAGATTAAAAATTTGATTTAATTTTCAAATTCAGTGATGTGTCAATTAATTAGGACATTAAAATCAACTAATTATATCACTTACACGTTATTAGGGTCTAAAAAATGGGCCTAGAAAGTGAGTTTGTATATCATTTTCCTATATGAATATGTAAGGTGAGAAAGATTTATTACTTGTTTTCAGAATGGAGGTTGATGATGGCTTGCTCTTTTTCATCGGAAAACTTTCCTTTCTTGATATCGGGCCTAAGATAGTTAGCCACCTTAATCTGCAACTCTATCCACACCTGTTGAGTCCGACAAGCTTTGGAAGTGCTGTCCAACTTCTATGCCCATTTCTCTCTATGCAATCTCATTTTTTTTTCTTTTTTTTTCAAATCTCTTCCCAAATCCCCCAAGCAAACACAACGTTAGAAAAATTGGTATCAGCTTCCTGGAGTGTCCCTTATGCACATAAAGAGGCTTTTTACTTTCCAATTTTTTTAATCCCACCCACCGCCGCAACTTGCTTAGTTGCTTACCATTCCACCCGAACCTTACCCGTATTGTCCCTTAGGGTTGGCCACAGTTGAGCTTGGTAATTTTCCCTCCTCTCTCCGATTCATGTTGATAGCCATTTAACCCAATTGGGTCTCTATCTTGGCAATAGAGTGAGTGTGGGAGTGAACTATCGGTGCTAACCCTTAATTCTGAGAGAACTTCCAACACCTGAGTCTCAAAGGCACAGTTGCCTTGAGGAACAAGCGGGGGTTGTGGTTGCGGTACGGTTTGGGGGTCGATAAGGTTGCGGTGCGGTCGTAGGAATGATTGGTTGGCAAAATTATTTAAAATTCTGCCTTGGTGGTGGAGGATTGTAAGAAGTGCCTTGTGAAGGGGGTCTCCATGAGAAATATAGGGTGATTTCTCCATCCCGGATTTATTGTGTTGGAGTATGGATCTTACCCGGGTTGGAGAATCCTTGAGCCGCATTCACATGCTCTGGACTAACTTCGGAAATTGTGATGCCGAAGGGCACTCACTTAAGTCATGAGCAGGGCTCGAACAAATAACACATGCCTCGTGAAAATTGAGGCTGATCTTGCTGGGTAGGGGCATGTCTTGTAGCTAATAATTGGTCCATCTTGC